GGGGGGGGAATGAGGGGAGCATACCCTCCATGAGGCTGCTCAGGATTGAGTTATGCTTCAAACTCAGAGAAACTTCTTCGAAGCGAGTAGGTTGCTATCGTTGATGATCGGAGAATCGGGGGTAAGGTTCTTACTGCTACTGCAACCCCTATTGACTATTTTTGCACTTAATCATAGTCTCATCCCAGCCAAAAATGAGAAGTGCGTTATGGAGGCTATATTTTTACTGGTCCTCAGTTTAGCGTTTCCTATTTGAATACCATCAGGGTAAAGGAATTTGGGTAAACAGCAGAGTTACTATAGCCGTAGCGGCATTTGGAGGCACGGACTTCAGTAACTGACCGCACGGAAGCCATGTAGATCAATTCGTTCAAACGCTACCTTGACTTTGCTCCATGGCGTAACGGCAGGGTACTTAACTGGAAAGAGTTTCATACTGATCATAATTGTTGATTTTATCAAGATCCGATAACTTTATAATCAGAAAAGGGCGATGTTGCTTCTCTCATTCCGTCAAAGATCCACCAGCAAGTAACTTCAATTCAAAATATTGGAAATAATAAAATAGGAAGAGGTTACATAATAGTGGTTAGTATAATACGTAGTAATTGCTTGACCGCCGAATGTGACCTTGCCTACTTCGGCTAGTAGGGCCAAATCAGAGTGTTGGAGCGAATAAGAAGTGTTCCCAGGAACATAGGGACAAGCTCGAGCCTTCCCTCGACTTAATCGTATTGTTTACTGCTTTCCATCATCCAGCGCCAGTCAATTGGTACCAAGCTTGTCTGAGAAGATGAAAGCTTTGACATACACGTCGAGTTACTGTGTGTGCCACATACGCATTCAAACCGCCATCATAATTCTGCATCTAAGTGAAATGCAGGGCGCATGCCACAAATGCTGATGGTCAGCGCCAAAAAATTCTATTCTCAGTGAAAAACATTTTACTATGTCTGAAGATGTCTGTGACATGGTGTGCCATTAGGTGCTGGTGGCACATGACCAGCCGGCGGCAGTCCGGCTTGTTCAGTGGTCAAAATACCTCATTTATCAAGATTGGATGAATTCATTTTAAGCCACAGGACTTGATCAATCGTGGAACGTAATATTCTGTTCAAATGAGAAGCTTAATGATTGCTCTTTATTACTTACTCTTATAGCCTAGTGAAGTGTATGGGAAAGTTACAGCACCCACAGGTCCCCTGAATTCAAGGTTACAGTCAGTGTAGCAACGAAAACGCTTTCATCGACAATTGCACTATCAATCACATGAGCGAAATACACAATCGCAAGCTAAACAAGTAATATAGTACCAAAATAAGATAGTTTAGGTCTTACACGAGCTGTTTAAGCTCTTAGAAAGGGGACTTTAAGTTCATAAATACGATTGGACTTGCCAGGTTGTTGCACTTGCTAGTGACTCAACACTTGAGGACATCGGGCGCTTGGACCATTTAATTTTCGATTCTGGAGCACGTGAACTAGATGAGTTCATTTTAGTGACGGGAGGACCTGATGTTCTGCGTGGGAACGATTCCTGGAGTACTGAAGCACTTAACATCGGCCTAGCGCATGACAGCATGTGAGAATGTTCTTGGGCCCAAAGCGCATGACTATTTTACCCTTGGGCTTCATTGGATAAATGACTCCCAACTTGTTTAATGTAGTGAAAAGTACTCATTCTGTAGTACCTGTTCAGGTGTTTCATGGAAGAACTACTAAGAGGTGAAGATCCAGACTACGTTCGGGCTCCTTCGTAAGTCACCTGTCTATGGAGCCGTTCATGAGTTTGACGACCTGATGTGTCGGCTTTCTCGGACCCCCTGACAACCACTCGGCTTCCAGGAGTGACAGAGGTCAGCTGTCTCATTTCATCAAAGTCTTCCTCTATCAACATGTTCATACTCTCTACTATTCTGAGCCTAGTATTCCTATATGGTAAGTATGGTTAGTACTTTTAGTTTTTCTTGGTTTATACCCAGTTGTACTAGGGGTTTGAAACATAGGAAACGTGAAATTTCTGTAACTTCTCAGAGACTACCCATAGAACTGGTAACTTTCCAGAGAGAATTAATCCCCCCAAGTTCCATTGGTGTAGGGCAAGGTAGGTGGGAAAATAAGGACTAAGCCGTGGTTGCCTGCTATGGGTAAGATTTAAGAGTTAGTTAAATAGAACTAACTGCATGCTATTTACGGGTGACTTCTGGAAAGTAAGGGGAATGCTTCGCTGGGCAGGTGTAGGTCATGTCCCAAAGTCCATGTGTAGTAGGCCGTATGTATAATAATATGCAGAATAACTATCCTCAAAAATTACTGTATAGCTTTTTAGTCAGTTCAGATGACTTACAAAGTAATGGAAAAAGGTACTACATAAGGTACCCCGGTCCTAACATTGTTCCTCATAGAAGACAGCGATAAGGTCATGAAGTTGAGGAGTTACTGGTAATCGCAGTAACTGCCACCACCTGAAGCTCTTCATTGTATTGTAGATCGGCAAGCGGTCAGGGAAATCAGAATTCTACCGTAGTTCTTGTAGTTTTATGATTTTCATTTTTTAAGTGTCCTGCGAACCATGTGAAGAAGAATGGACGTTTGTGGCCAGGGTGCACTCATGCTATTTGGCTCCTCATCAACCACTCACTTGGCATGATGCCGAGGAGTACTGTCAACGGGCAGACGCCAATCTGGTCTCTATTAATAGCGCTAAAGAATCGCACTACGTCAGATGTAAGCTCTAGCACATTTGAGAACATAGATTTGATAAACTTTTGCTTGCTTTAGTATTGGCTGATCAACATAATCCGCAGTTTTTGACGTGGATAGGGCTTTCAAGGGAGGAAAACACGACTGAAGCGCCTTTCAAATGGTCCGATGGGAGCGAGCTGAGTTTTACCTCTTTCAGAGAAGGTGAGCGAATGAAGACGAAGCCGGCAGACATTTTGGAAGTTGAAATAACTTACAAATTGATACGAACGATTCGTCAAGGGAAGCATTGGCGCTGAATTAATGAGCTGTATATTTGTTTACTTAACTGTTTACAGTTGCTGGGTACCCGCTGGTGTCCTTCCTATTGAGCGGAGGGAATCTACTTGAGTATACGGGATATTTCCATAGGTCCAACCACGTGCCTTCTATTTTCCTGCTTTGATGGCAAAATGTTGAAAGTCTGCTAATATGTGGCCTTACTGTCCAACTGTTACATTGGAAATTTTGCAAAAACTCCGAAATAATTAGATCATCAATCACCTCATTGTCGTATAAGCCATGTATCCAACTCCTTTTTCATAGATATACATATGTTGGAAGGCGTGATTAGTGAGAACGTAACTTGTGGAAATTAGGAAATGCTCATACATTTCAGGTGAACCTTCGGCTTTTGGGAATTGCGTAGCTTTGCCGCCTTCAGAGGATGCCAATGGCTGGGTGACAATCGACTGTAACTACATGCAGTTCTTTTTATGTGAGAAACATGCTCAAGGGTAAGCCTACAGTATTAACTAATAACTCTCCACAACTTAATTATAGAATGAAATCACACGGGTATTTATTTTCTAATTATAGAATTTTAAAAACCAGTTTAAAATACAACTTAGCAAACAGGTTCCTCTTATAGGCCCGAGCCAATCGTGCTAACCTCAGAGTCGGGAGAGTTCTACAGTCCAGGCTTCCCAGGAAACTATGAAAACGACGTTTCTGTGAACTACTACATAGAGGTCACTTGTTTTTTTTTGAAGATCCTGAAAGCAACAAAACTCAAAAGGCAGATTTCAGTTGAGCCCTGAGTACAGAGTTCTAATTACTATCGAGCAAATGGAAACGGAGCAATCCCATGATTACCTATTGATACTCGACAACACAGAAGACAGTCGAACCTTAGCAATGTGAGTCTTTCATAATGACTTGAAGTTTATACTTTAAATCACTTTTCTTGCTGAGCGTACGAAGGGAAACTATCAAAATTACAGGGGGTAGTTATTTCAATCTCTCTGCACCATTGAACTTGGAACCCGACTGAACCGGGGAACAGATTTTTTTCGCCCGTACCTTCAGCATGGGATTAACTTTGTATATTTCTTCTGCATCAAATTGGTAATACAATTTGACTNCGGAGCAATCCCATGATTACCTATTGATACTCGACAACACAGAAGACAGTCGAACGTTAGCAATGTGAGTCTTTCATAATGACTTGAAGTTTATACTTTAAATCACTTTTCTTGCTGAGCGTACGAAGGGAAACTATCAAAATTACAGGGGGTAGTTATTTCAATCTCTCTGCTCCATTGAACTTGGAACCCGATTAAACCGGGGAACAGATTTTTTCGCCCATACCTTCAGCATGGGATTAACTTTGTATATTTCTTCTGCATCAAATTGGTAATACAATTTGACTAAGATTTTACTTTGATAGCTGAAACATGATATATCGAAGCTTTTAGCAACTGAACCCATATGAGGATGATATTACGTTCATATATATCGAACTGGATAATCTGAACTGTACAAGTCAAAGCTAATTTAAAGCTAGTACTTTACCTTTGAAAATCTGGTAAATATATGAATAACGGCACTACTGGAAAATCTAGGAAATATATAACGGAACAAAAGTTATACCGGTTTGAGCTAACCTCTAAAATAAGGAAAGTCGATTTGTGCAAACGCAAAAGAGGTCTTCGAACAAAGGAATAAATTGCGTAGACAACTCTATAGAAGTTTTATAGCTCGGTGGTTCTTCTGTGCTTACGTGAAGTAGTAGATTTGACCAGAGCGGTTTCAGGAAAACACTTCTCCTGTTCCGCATTATCTGCCCTCAACGTGATCCAAACATTAAGGAGACATCTTTTCATTTGTAGAACTTCCTTGTATTGCAGAACCCTGAAAACGAATTGGCGCTGAAATCTTTGTTAACATAATGAAAAGAAACAAAAAAGCTAAGGAATTTAAAGTAGATGGCGGCTTCGAAAACTGGCACTCACGTAATACTTAAATCCAGCCGAACTGTATCACACATCTGAGATGGGTCTGGTGCGCGATTCCAGCCAATAAAATAATTGTGAGCCACTAAATGTCCGCTGGAATGATTTCTAAAAAAGAAATTTTAAGAAAAAATCCGTGNTATGGGAAAACCGTGCCAAATGACTGAGCACACTATCTGATTTTCTATTTGGGACACTCGCTTGAACAGCTTGAGAGGCAGACCGTACTAATGAAGCAAAATGATAGTGACTTTTACTTCGTAAGCTGTGCAACCGAGAGGAAAGCGAAGCGTAAACAGCTTTGTAAATAAGTACTGAAAAGTAACTGACATATCGCACTGGCAACTCAGACTGCCAGACCACCTTATATCTTCAACATTACAAATTCCTTCTTCAACCCACACAGCTGGTCCAACTTCATTAAAAGTTGACAAGTTACTGAAATTAAGTTTACAAATCGGCTGCGTAACACTTTTCTTTTCAGAATAACAGATAATGAGGAAGTGATATTCATTCACTTGTAAATAGTGTGAATCAATGCTTTTGGAAGATTTCCAATCATAATCCGTTCTTTCGTACAGTGAGGAACACGAATCAGTTCCTAAAATAATGCGTGGAAAAAATTTGTAGACCTCAATGAAATTGATCGAAGCACCTTGAAAAAAGCAAAAAACTCATTGTAATCCAAATCACAGCCAGGAAGTTCTATAGTGAAGTGTCTCAGGAGATAGTTGTCGATAGGCGATAAGCTGAAAAATGAGTGCAAAAAGTAGTTGAAAAAGTCTAAAAATAAGTGAATTTGATTTTACACTCTCAAAATGAGACCAATATGGTTAAATTGATAACAATGATGAAGCGAAACTCACTCTTATGAACTTCTTTTGGAGAGAAATCTCCACTTCTATTGTAGATGTACTTCTATCAACTTATCGAGGTTGTAAGTAGGAAAGCAAATTTTTTTCTTCCCCAGTTGCATGAGGCAATAATCCTTCTTTCCGATACTTTTTTTCTTACAAATCCCATTTAATTCATTGAAGCTTCGATGCTGCCAGATGAGAACCTGCTTGAACGCTGTCGTTTTGCTTTGCACTCCTGCTGATCACATGGTCTCATAGGTGTAAGAAAAGCGCCGTAGCCATTTTTCATGCCACATGGTGGGTTTTGGGATAGTAGAGATACAGAATACGTAGAACGCTCATTTCCTATTATAATAAACATAGAAATCACTAACTCTTGCCTGTCCTTGCAATTGTCAGGATACCGTTGTGACCAATTGTTCACAATCCGCCGAACGGTTATTCCAGAAATTCTAGAGCAGGTTTCCATATTAGCGCCAATATATAGAGCATACAAAGAAGAAACTGGCAAAATCTGTAAGTTTCAGCACTTCGCAAAATCAAGACTTAGAATTTTCATTATTTATAAACTTGAATAATAGAAAGCTTAAAATGGAAGTTTTTAGATTGAAATGTTTGGCGGTAACGTTTGAATTCGAGTGTGTTTAGTTTATCGTAAAACTTTCGAGGGTGATTTTATCTGTCAAGACGTTTTTGATACAAAATGAACGGAAAGGGAAGTAAATTTTGGTCAGTCCAGGGAGGCATCGATACAGGTTTGATATCAGGACCTTCCGTAAGATAGCGTGCCACCTACCCACCTTACACGTTTTGCTTTCCACCCACCTGTCTGTCTGGGGAGGCTTGAGAGTTTTTTTTTATTTTAGCATAAATACGACCTCTTAGTGATGAACGTACAGTATCTAGGTTACCTGATCGGATATTATACTTCTGTCGAAATGACCTGTTAACTGCAGACCGAACGGGGAATAATGCTTGAAAAAGTCCTTCAATGCACGTTCATTCAACTGCAAAAACCCTTACAAATTCCGAGAAAAAAAGTTAAAGTCGAGCTCCTTACCGAACATTTATCCATTTCCAGAGCTAGATTACAACCTCGTAGATTTCCAACACATTTCCTTACTAATAATTCTATACTAATGTTAAAATCTTCGCATTTTATATAGATTTCTCTCGGAGCTATCACAAAAAAGAGTTCAGCAAATTCTGCAGAGAATTCTTCCTCCTGTAAAATCGATATTAGTACATTTCAACAAATAGCGTCAATTTTCTCACCGTAAATTCCCATTTCTCCAGTTCATTCGCATTTGCAACCCGTTTTCGTCTAAGTAATGAGATAAAATTAAGACGTCGCGAAAGATTTATCTTCTCACCAAATGTAAGCTGAGCAGTATCCCACTTCAAGACGGGTTTTGGTAATGCCAATTTATTTGTAAGTATGAAATTCCTGGAAAAACCATGATCATATGATACATCCCACCAAACCACTCCAACTTTCCCTAATATAACGACTAACCTGAAGCGTTTACAGGTATTTCCGAATGACCTCGAATCATGACCATCTAAATGGCCTAATAATAAGACTAGAACCTCATCCGGAATAGAGAAAATACCAGCCATCTGCAGGCATCTGCTTTCATCGTACAATCGTGAAATTGTTTTGTTTAATTCGGGCACAGAACTTGCAGTGGAGCGCGCTTGTATGCCGTCTCAGTACCGTCTCCTTTTTGGACAAACTCTAACCCAACTTGAATTGCACTTTTGAGCTTATTTTTATTTTCAAAAGATCGCCTGTCTCCTGAAAGTCTATAACTACCGACGATGGGATCAGTCGATACTGAATAGCTCCATTTCTCAGTGGTGTTGTTCAGAATGTCTCTCGTTTATTCAGTTGTTTGTAGGCGGAACCAGAAAGGGTGTGGTGAAAGTTTCTTTGGGAGAGGAGATGTTCGGGAATGTAGTCAACGTGCTTATAGATATGACATTTTGTAATCTATTCCATCTGTTTGGAACCATATGACCCAACTGCAAACTTCCAGAAAGTCAGTCTCCACCAGTTCTTCGATGGTAGACAGACCTTTTCATCATTTTTCGTTTTTCCGTAAGACAGGAGTACTACTGAGCCACACAAAAGTGAATGAGTGCTTATTCCGCAGACGAATTTTTTTCATAACGCTGTTAATTTTCAGGCTATCAGGTAGTCATTACAATCGTTCATTTCTATCGCTATCTAATGCCGTAACGGTAATCTTCTCCAGTGACGAAAGTGGCAATGGAGCAGGATTCAAGGCAGTGTACTCAGCATGGTAAGGACCTCTTTTAACTCTATTATTTTAGTAGAGCTTTGTATCCAGCCAAAGCTAGAAATAGCTATAACATGTTGTGTGACTGAAGGGTCAAAAAAATTGATCATTGGTACTGAATATGCTGGCACACAGCTTGAGTCCGTGTATCCTTAGCTATGCACTGAGGTATGAACATACGCGTAAACGCCGCCCACCTTCGAGAACGCTCCGCCCACTCGGGTGATGTTCTCTCAACCAACTTGGAAACTCATCCTTCATTTGTCGCTTCTTCCCGATATCTGGGGTATGGGCTGTTTTGAGAAAAAATTAGGAAATTGAAATCTTTGCACATTCTGTCGATGCGACGAAGCTTTCCATGTGTCTGTCAGAGTAATCGCAAATTTGGTGACAGATATACAGGAAAACAGGCTGTCAGAAAGACACGAGCGGTAATGTACCGTAAGGATCCAATAACTAAACTCGTACCCAAGGTATTGTACCCCTGCTTTTAGAAACTGAGAACAAATTTGTTAGAGAGTCCCATTTGCAAAGAAATCTCGATGTAGCTCAGTCCGTTCTTCTTTCAGGAAATTGAAGCCGGTCGAACTGCTTGGAGAACCTGGTGGAGTTGTTCAAAGCGAAGCATATCCTGACTTCGCTCCGCCTTTTACAACCCAACGTTTCATCATCCAGTGTTCTTCAGAGCAACATGTCCACCTTAACATTTCTGGTATGGGTTTCAGCTAATTAGAACCTCGACAGAAAGTCTTCTCTCTCCTTTTCTTCCTTCTCTTCTTCTTCTCTCTATTTCTCCTACACTCAATCTTACACCTACAAGGAGGAATTAGAGAATGCTTCAGGCCTTTAAACCAGTTAATTGTACAAATATTTTGTTCTTGATTGATGGAAATTGAGCTAATCTCTCTTTCTCCCCACTGTTTATCTAGGGTTTGTGAAAGTGAAGAAGTGATTATTCGAGCCACTCGTTTCCTCATTACCCAACGATTGTTCAAATTACAAAAGCTGAATTAGAGTACATCCATAAGATAGGCGGGGTAGTTGCAAGTGGGCGGTAGTACCGCCATTCTCTTCCCTGATCCCTTTTTATTACGATAATTTACCTTTAATCCTTCCAGATTTTGATTGCCATTCTGACGATAAGTTGGTTTTTCATGATGGTCCCACATCTCATGATCCTATTCTTCAAGCGTAAGTGCTTTGCCTACTTGGCTTTAGATTGATCAAATTTATTGATTGAAAGAAGTCTCATATCATTCGTTCAGGCCTTGTGGCTCAATGGAACCTGCAAGACTAATCAGAAGTCAGAGCGATTCAGTATATGCGACCTTCGTAACAGAGGACTCGCTTGGTCTCTCCAGGTGGAGATTCGGCTACGACTGCGTACGAAAGGACGGTTTTGGAGACGAAATTGTAATACTGTGATCTCTATTGTTTAAATTGTTTGTATAAACCTCTAATTTAAATGTGATTCCAATAATTTTGAAGAAATAAAGGTTTTCAAATGGTTATGGCAAAGTAGATCGAAGACTTCTACTGGTTATATGAATGCATCATCCCAAAATCTTTCTATTCTACATTGAACTGTTATACATGAGCAGACTTAACACTGTTATATCACAATATTGATCAGCCATACGGGGCCGCAATTGCTGCCGTAACATTGCCGTGACATACATACCTTACAGGAACGAAAATTCAGGCCGGCACTCTGCTCTTACAGTAATCCGGCACGTGTTAACACGCAAATTTTTACCCGTCA